CATAAAGCTAATTTCGTCTTTTCAGGTAAAGTTCGCAAATAGACGAATATCATCAGTAACTTTCGAACAGGTCATAGATTAATTCCCGAAACACGACGGGACAATTATCTATATGACCAGACAGTATGAATTCCTGAAACAGGACGAGTTTACTGTAACACCCTATTTCCCCGTCAGTAATTTATATAATAATCAGAGTATATTATTTCTCAAATACAAACATCAATAGGATGTCACATACTTCACCGATCACACATGCTCAAAAATTAGGATACCAACACAAATCACATGTTCATAAGTCATAAACTTCAACTCATTTATTCGCAGTGGAAAAACATAAATAAATAGTCATCTCAATTCTCCAACCGGAGTTATAATTATTATCTTTCCAATCATCAGCATAACAATAAAACAATTCAAACAACAGAGCGATACATGTTCACTCCTAACATAACAACAAATCACACAAAAACCCCCAAGTGTTACGTATCAGAGCAGACACCGACTCAATCTACACAACTGAAGGAACTCTTCAGCTAACCGTCGATCACTACCTACTTCGGGTTATCTGCATGTTACTCAAATGGAGGTAACATTCGAATAGGAAGGGTGAGATATCATAACAATATAAGAGGAAGCATAATAATAAGCAGGTAAAGATTCAAGTACACAGTCAGCACATAACATAAATCATAATATAATACATAATTTCATCAATACTCATCCATCTAATTATTGATCACAATATGATGCAAAAGACCGACACTGACTCAATGCATGTGGTACCAATAGGGTAAAACCCTCATCACAATCATGTCAATTTAGGGCAATCAACTTCGCTCACAAATACAAGCCTTCGCTCACCAATACATGCCCTCGCTTTATGAATGCATGCGACACTGACATGCAACAACTGTATTTCACATTGATTATTCTTACCTATCAATGCCACACCAATACAGGCCATCAGTATCATCATTATCATGCATATCATGTTACACAATCAAAACATTCATGCAACATCATTGTACTCAATCATAATACCAATCTCATCAATTCCATCATCATATTCACAACTTCGCAATTACATCAAAATAGCATAATAAGACAATACAGGCCACCAAGCATATATCATAGTATATACGTCATCATAACATCGTCACATCAAGAAATCTCTTCACATTCATCATTATATTCACAACTTCGCAATCACAACACAACATCAGAATAAAACAAAATTCATAAAATCATCTCATATTGTTTTGAAATCATTTTTATTAAGTAGAAAATATTTTTTGCTTTACGTAGGTTTGAATGGCGCGTCAAACGAACACCCGAGGCAAAAGTTATGAATTTTCAAAGATTTTCAAGAATCTGCCAATTTCAGTAGGGTGCCCGGGTACCCATATATGGTAACCAGTTAACCCCTGTCAAGACGACTAAAAACGTTCTTTTTCGAATGGTAACCGAGTAGCCATATATGGAAACCGATTCCCACTGTTCCAGAATTTAAAAAAAAACAGATTTTTATGTTACGAAAAGAACTTATTTGTCCGGTAAACATGTCTAACTTCCACCTATTATACCGTTAATGTTTATAATTGAACTTCCTACATTCGTACCTTAATACCAACCATTTTAATTCACACAAAAACACAATTAAGCACTTAAATTAAGTGATTCTTTCATCCAAATAAAAAATAATTAATATAGCAATTACACCCAAACACCACCCATCAATCAACTTCATTTATACAACATCAAATACAAGAATTTCGCACCCATTCATCATCAACAATTGTCACATAGATAAATCACATAAAACACCCAATTCTCACAAAGATGAACATATAAATAAATAACTTAACTCTACCATAACCCATCTTCATACAAACCTTTATAGAGTTAGAATCCCATCCTCACCTTATATTTTAGGTTGATTCTTGATTTCTACGGTGAAATCTCTTGCCCTAGCTTCCTAGTGCTCTTCTCTTCTTCTCTCTTCTACGCTTCTCTTTCTTTGTTTCTACATACTGACTCTTTTTCCTTATTCTTACTCTAATATATCTCAATAATAATATAGCCTTCTTAATTAAATAATTATTCAATTATTATCATAAAATAATAATAATCCTAATATTATAATAAAATAATAATAGTAATCTATATTATTCCATACACCCCCATACTCTACACTTTTAGCCATACACCCTCATAATCTCAACTTCAATAATTTTAAGGTATCTAATTCTCAACAAAGGCATCACATCCCATTATAAAATCCACTAATTCATAAGAATTCACTGCATCCTCTAATTATTTAATTAAAAACAATTCTAATTAAATCGGGGTATAACAACTCTCCCCCACTTAGAATATTTTCATCCTCGAAAGCTATCTGATACCAACAACTCCAGATACGACTATCACGTCCTTCCTTCCAACTCCCACGTCATGTTTACATCATAACAAGTATTACTAACTAACATCTCACCTAATCAACCACCATGATCCCATAAAACTCCTTACTATCGGGTTATGAACACATCGTTTCGTCTAACTCCTCGTCCCATCATCCTAGGATACAAAATCTATCACTTCATTACATGACAATACCACCATAAGTGCATAAACTTAACCATAATATCAATAACAGTGACACACACCAGTACTACAATGCTACATCTCACACATTGAACACACAATCGAATACATTCTATTGACATATTAGTGAAACAACCGGCTCAAAATCATCAAACAATGAAGTCGCCATCGAACGTCTTTTATCCCACATGAAGGGAAAGGTAAACATCAAGGAAATCTGAGAAGAGAGAAGTCAAGGTCTTGCGACTGAGAGATCGGGTAAGGGAGTCTGTTATGCGAAGAAAGGTATTAACATCCCATACGCCTGTAGTACTCTACGGTATCCACTCTTGTTATCTATCTTATGGGTGTTTTTAATCTATGGTTATTGTTTAATGCCGAGGAAGAATGCATGTAAAAGAAAGGAGAAAACAATGTAGGGAAAATAAAGTTGTGCTCGCTTGGGTCCTACCCCAATGCCTACATATCCTTTTTGAGGAATCAGAGTTACCGTAGTTCGGCTCACATGTTTTTTATTTGTTTTGTGTATTTTATGGAAGATGTTAATTCCGTCTTCTGCCGTAGCTCGACCTTTGGAGACTTACGCGTTGGCATAGAAGTAAATCAATCATGTCCTTACCTGAAAAGGATTTTAGAGAAAAGGTGCTTGGACGTACACAAATGTTTGAGTTGGTTTGTATTTTGCTGTGAATAATAGCTAGTTTACCTCAAGAGAGAGGTATTAACTATCTTCCTACTTATCCATGAAAGGAGTATTTGCGACTTGAACCACACCAAGGCCTAGGATGGAAGAACAATAAGATCGAGAAGAGACCCGTTTATCATCTCCCACACTCAGCAAAGGTATGATTCTCATCAATAATTTTTTAGTGTTTTGAAGTTTGAAAAGAAAAAGTTTTTGTTTTAAAAGACAATGCAAAAGAAAGAGATAAAATCTAAGGAAAGTTCCATTCCTAATGTTGACATGCGATGGTGGCCCTAAGGTTGATTTTGAAAGGAAATCTTAACTACGATTATCATGCATGATTTACAACCTAAAGTCTATTTAATTCAATTTAATCAAAGGATTAAAATTGAACTAAAAAAATCCTAAGGGAGCATGATGAATATACAAGCAAGTAAAAAAATTGAAATCATCCACAATTCATACTAAGATAGCCAAAAATTGCAAACAGATACATGACATAAAATGAACAAAACTAGTGATTAAAATTGATTAAAGTTTGCAAAGGGGAAAATAAATTCTTATTTAATTCCTGAAATCCAATATATTTTTTATGTTGTTATTATATTTTTTTTGTTGACAAAATCACGAAAAAGAAAAATGAAAGAAAAGTAGAAAAAATTGTGAAACTTCTAAAGTCAGAGGGGGCGAAAACTGAAATCCATAAGATATATGCAGTAAACAAAAGATATGCCCTGTAAAATCTAAGCCCGACCCAGAAATAAGTCCATAATCAGTCTTTTTGTTACAAACTTCCAAATTGTTTAAAAATATGGTCTCAACAATAAAGCAAGGCCCATCAAATAAATTTCAGTCCGTTAACATTTTCCATGTTACAAGGCTATCTAAAAAAAACAATCTAATTGGGCTTAGAAAGAGTTTTTCCGAAGCCATGTCTGTTGTAGCCCAACTCCGCCTCCAAACAACACATTGTCCATTTACTTATTCAGATTTATTATTAAAGTGAATTGGAAAGAAAAAGAAAGAAATAAAAAATGAGGGCATGAATGGAACGCAATCGTTTTGTTCAGCTAGGGTTATCGTTGTAATTTACGTTCTCTTCTTTGTCCTCTCAAACTCCGACACGGCGCTACTTCATCCCTTTTCTCGATCCGCCATTGTACAAACGCCGCCATAATTCAGAACACCACCTTGTCATTTATTTCCACCAATTCAAACGGCATCCAGAGATCTTCTCTTATTTTTCTTGATCTACTCTTTCTTCTGGTTTTCCTACGACTTGTGGCTTAATATCTTCCTGATCTTCTTTCAGGTTTGGATTTATCGTATGTAGGGTCACGATTTGCCCACGGTTTGTTATGAAGAATTTTGCGGTAAAGCTTGTAGCGGGCAAGGTATAGCAAAGCTCTTTTTGAGGCTTATAACAATAGGCTTTCTGACTTAAGATAGTAGCAATGTCAGTTGGATGTTAGGATTAGTGGTTAGTTAAGAGTAACTGATGGCTGATGTTAGAAGTGTAAAATTTTTAGTTAGAACTAAATTGGTCTCTTCTGCTATTGTAAGCTAAAATGCCAAAGAGTAATGAACATTGAGTTAGCAAAAATTTTTGGTAAATGGGAAAGAACTGTTAGAAACAAATGATGGTTGTTAGTAATTATTTTGTTTGTCAATGTGCACTTTTCAACTAGTTTTATTTATTGAACTTGGAATATTATTGTGAACTGATTGTGTAGGCGATGGATATTTTTTGATTAATTGTTTGACTTAAACAACTGGAGGGCCTGGTTTTGACGTGTTTGGTTGGTTTCATGATGCTGATTAGTTTTGGATGGTTTGGTGTCTTTCTTGGGTTAGCAATATTTTCTCTGATATTCTGTTTAGAGTTGAGGCCATCTATTTTCTTCATGTACATGATTTTGGTTTGTAGTAACATATTTGCGAATTGTTTGGACTACAGGACAACATGGCAGTTAATATAATAAATAGTTAACTATTTTTTTTCTGAATGCAGGTTTTGTTGATGTGCAGTAGGGCTGCAATGGTTTAGCGGTAGCTCTTGAGCATGAAGGTGAAGAATGAAACAGGGGAAGAGATAAGGTATAAAGAGTGATCCTTGGAATTTGAAGAATAATAGTTAGGACAAGGCGTTGTGAAACTTTAGTAGCTTAGGACCTTAGGAATTTTGTATAGTTGTTTCTTTGGAATTTAATATGAATTTGTCATGGTTGCAAGTGTAAATGAATTTGACTCTCGTAATGTCTTGTAACGGAATTTGAAATGCATGGAATTTTACTTGGATGAACTTTGTAAGGACCCCGAATGGATTTAAATGTATATGGATGATTCTTGGTTTTTGCAACTTGAGTGAATATTCGTAGTGAACATGAACTTGAATGAAGTTGAATAGCTTTTATAATTAAATGATTAAGTGTTGAACACGATGAATAAGGTGAAGATGATTATGATGAAATGCCTTGCACTTGTATTTCATTACTTAAATCTCAAGAAATCCAAATGCATTTCCTTTCCAACCTTGCAAATTCCCAACAACTTTGATGAAATGAACCAATTTTGAATCCATGGAATCATTTAAATCCACTTCAACCGTAATCCAAATTAGCTCGTCTGACAAGTAACAAACAATTTGAGAGAATGATGCCTTGATTATGATCCATATCTTGTACCATGTCTCGATTGTATGAGCAATAGAATAACAATGCCTTGGATCCTTGAAGAAGATATTCAAGATGACTTTGAACTTAGACCCTAGCTCACTTAGTATTTACTTAAACCTTTAGTGAAACCCTAATGATCTTGCCTTTGTTGAAGATGACAACCTTGTAGCCTAATGAGAAAAAGAAGTTCTCAATGACCATGAGCGCGAAACCCTAGCTTCATACCATGATTGTTGAATAAACCAGTTAATTCAAGCTTGAATGAAGATGAGAGCCTAAAAGCACAAATAAGCCCTAGTTCCTCAATATCCTCAATCCCCTGCCAAATTATGATTCATGATGCATGATGTTGTTAAATGCCCTAATGGATGGTATATACAATGGTGAAAATGAGATGCATAAGCCATGTGATTTAATGAAAGGAGTTGTACCCCAAAATTTGCCCTCCCATATTTCTTCAAGACATACTCACAAAGTTCTCAAAATGTTCAAAAATCTCAAGAGTTGACCAGTCAAAATGCTCCTCTTAAGCCAAAGGTCTACAACCAAGATTTTGTGCTTCTCAAGGAAGAATGGTTTTCAAAGGTCTAAAATAGTTTTCATGGTTCATCATAGGTCCCGAAAAATTTTCATGTCAAGTTTTAAGTCTTGCATCACAAGTTTGCTCAGGCAATGGCCTAGATGATTGAAAATCAACTATATTGGATAAAAAGTCAACTATGGTTAATATACAGTCAAAATTCAAGAATTTTTTTGTCAACATCAACATTTTGAAGTGATATTCATCATTTGATCAATGTTTGATCATGATTCCTCAAAGAAAGCCCTCAAATCATCAAAAGTAAAAAATTGTCAAATTAGGGTTTCCATAAGAGAAGTCAACAGAACTTTGACCAAGCATAACTTTCACATACTTCATCAAATTTTTCCCAACCAAAGCCTATTTTGAAGGAAATTCAATTCTCTACAACTTTTCTTTTAGGATCAAGTCCAAAAAAAAGCTTCATTTGATAGATATGAGCTAATACATTATAGGTCATTTTCAAAAGTCAACAAAAGATACTTTTTGTTAAGGCAACTTACATCAGGATAAAATCTCCAAATACAAAAATTATCAAGTGGAAAAATTGTAAAGGACTTCTTGATCTTTTCAAAAAGTCAAAGATCACCTTCAAAAGATGAAAATTGAGCAAGTTATGAGTTACACAAGTTAGCCAATGTTTGAGAAATGCATGAAACCTCAAGTGAGCAAATTTGTGATTTTGGGTTATTCGGCCTAAGTTTTGGAACTCAAATGTGTTCATGACATATCTAAAGACCCTTAAGTGCATTCATGCATTAATTTAGTTTTTATTTTATTTATTTTGATTTTAATTATTTAAAATCAAAATTAAATCAAATAAAATGCAAACTTAATGGACAAGGCATGTAAGGCTTATGGACTGAACTCTTGGAGGCCCAAATAATCCGTGCTAGCCTGTCCCAAAACATGCCAAAACCATGCAAGGCTCAAAATGGCAAGAACAAACTCAAAATGGCATGTTTTCAAAATGTTTGATTATTGTTTTAAACATGGCTTGATGCCTTGATTCTTGCCATATTATTGAAGTCATTTCCCTCCTCTATATAATGGCAAGCAAGTCAGACCAAAGAAACACGCATACCTGCTTCAACAAACTAGCAAAAACTCTCCAAATTTTCTCAAAAACCTCGAGCTTTAAAACAACCGCTACAAGCCTTCTTTTTCCATAATTTTAACTCCATTCATCTCCTGGAACATCAAAAGGTAGTTTTGGATCAATCATGACGATCATACACGCATGAAACTGCATATCACCGCCTTGCCGATTTAATTTTTTTTTGAAAATCATATATTTAATCTTGCTATGTTTTAAATCAATTTGATGTTTTTAATATGATTTTAAGTCATGTTTGAACAGATTTAGACAACCAAAATGGTCCCATGCACGCAATTTTAGCAAACATCATGTTTTCCTCTGATCGGTGTAACCTGGTTCGAAACACACGGTCCAGGGGTTTTTAGCCAAAAATAAGGTTGGATTTGGAAACAAGGGGGTTTGATTTATGGGGTATAGTTCCTTTTTGATCTTTATTTTTGCAGGTTTTCGCATGTTTTGGATTTTGACTTGTCAGAGAAGACGACCGGAGTTACGGCTCCGACGCTTCTCCGGCCATATGCTTCATTCATTGTTTTTATCCTTTTTGTTTGATTAAGGTACCAGATGAAATGACCGCCCCAACGACAAGCGAGTGTGTGACTAAAGCTTTGGTGCGCCAGGGCAAGGGTTCGATCCCTGCCTCTGGTATTTTATTTTTCCATGTTTTCTTTACAGATTCAATACGAATAAACCCAACGCGTGCACCATGAATCTCCATCCTATGACCATCAGATCTCATCAAAGTCAGATCCAACACATCAAACGCACACCCCACAATACACCCCAGGGAGCCACCTTCACTAGATCCAGCGCAACAACTTGAGCTCTTTGATTTAGGCCTAAGGATTTCTGCTTCTCACACCCTCAAAATTCCTTTTGCACATCAGGCCCATTTAATTTCATTTTTTTTTGTTTTAATTAATTATTTCTTTTTAATCATTTTTTGTTTAATCATAAAAAAAAATAAAAAAATTAGACTTAGGTTTTAATAAATTAATTTAATTTTTATAAATAGGAATTAATTAATTTAATCACACTTAGTTTTATTTTAAATAATTAACTAATGAATTAATTAGAATTAAGTTTTATTTTTTATTTTACACTTCAAATATTTTTCTAAACCAAAAAACACCAAAAATATTTTCTAAACACTTAGGATTTTTTAGGTCTTAAATATCTTCCACTCATCACCATCTACGCGCGTTTGTTTATTTTTCGCATTAATATAACTATGTAACTGTTCAAAGGGATGTAATAGTTTAAATTAGGGTTTCTTTATCTTTCCCCATTTTATGGTTTGTAGTTCCCCATCCCTGAGACATTGTAATAGTGTAGATTCAATTTTCTACATTTTTACTTTCCGCAATTATGTATGAATGCAATATATATTTAAGTGCTAGCTTAATAGGCGTGCATGGCAAGACGTAAAACCAATCATTAGAAAAAAATAATCTCAAGACAAATAACTGAAATCAAAACACTTCGCACACGCACACCTCTAGGGTGAGCCTCACTTGTTGCCTCAGATTTAAAACAATCATGTCCCTCGAACGTGGGGTGATTTAGCAAAGATCCTTCGGGTAAAAGATCGTAGTCCCTCGATGACCCTTCGATGCTGCCTCGGTAAACGATCTTAGTCCTTTAGGATAATTTCTAAAGTGTCCTACGAGTTGCCTTCGTGACTGTACGATGATCCGCGCATGTCTCTTGAAACATCCAATGATAGGGCTTCCTACTAGCTAATGGTAGGATAACATTATCTAAAGGAAAGGAGGAAAATAACAAAGAATTTTTGTGTAGGTAGATAGCTTGTAGTCGCTTGCTCATAAACAAAACAATTTCTCACACACACACACACACACACTCTCTTTTCTAAAATATTTTCAAAGGCAAACACTTTGTATGAGTTCTCAAGGATACGATAATCATTACAAAGTTTGTCGTACTTAGGTATCTTTTCAAAATATTTTAAAACACACAAACACAAAGCATTTTCAAAGTGATCTAGCAATTAAGAACCCGTAGATAACTACAGATGAAAAGGGTGCTAACACCTTCCCTTTTCATAACCTACCCCCCTTACTCAGAAAATCCTCGAAAGGTATTTCATGTTCTTTTCACCATTTCCTTTATTGGATAAAAGAAAAGTTGGTGGCGACTCATGCTATCCGCAACATTTGCAATAAAACACAAAACCAAAAGTCAGTTCTCCCACCGTATTAAAGAACTGGCGACTCTGCCGGGGAGAAACTAAAAGTGGGGTTACCTTAGAGCTAGATCACATTTAAATTCTTTCGTTGTTTGATTTGCTTGATTTATGTTTAAGGGTTGTTTAGATATTTCTTGTATAGATCTTATTCCTAAATCTGAGGCATTTTAGGTAAGTAGCAACAGATCGTGAAAATTGTACGGCGTACACCGATACGGTTGAAGCGATGACTACATTAGTGCGACACATTGGTTGGAGTTGGTGTCCCTTGAGTTAAGTCAAGGAGAATGTTGGGCTGCCGCATGGTGTCATAAAGCATTAATTAACTGTAGAATCTTAGTTGACACAACTTAGCCATTAGAAAGTAGTG